AGTTTTATTTGTAAAGCATCTTTTACATATCAACATCACAAAGTGCTTCTTCACAAGGGGCGGATATAAAACAAATACAACATACAATAAAACCATAAAAGTACACAATAAAACCAGTTGATATGACTAATAAAACAATACATTTAGTTAAAAGCTTGTGTGAACAACAGTTAAGCTGCTTCTTAAAGAAGTCGACAGCCTCAGAGACTCGGGGGCAGGGCGTTCCAGTCAGCTCTAGCCTGAAAAGACAGGTCTCCTTGAGTTTTAAATCCAGTTTTAGGAACCTTTAGAAGATTTTGGCTTTCAGAACGAAGATTACAGCCAGAAGAACAGGGAGTCAACATTTCTGTAACGTACTGAGAGGCCATTAGGACAGGCCCCTCAGTTCTAAAATCAGCTGCCTTTACAGCTCTAAAATCAAACCTAAAATTTTWAAATCAGTTCTGAATTTGATGGAATTCCTTAGCCTGATTCCCCGAGTGCTGACGGAGGGAGTGTGTGTCCCTGGATGGGTGGAGGTGGGAAGGAGGGAGGTCACGCTTCAACAATCAGCAGCTGCTAACCCTGAAGATGCTGATTTTCTTTGTGCCTCCCAGCTGACGGCTGGCGCCTACCAAGTTTCTTTTTCTTTCCTTTTCACGCTGTTGTTGGACATCATGGTCAGGCAGTCAGTCCTCTATGCCAATACTGACCCCMCACACACACACAACACAATGACCGCCTGTCTGCAACACACGTCCATACAAACTCTACTYCACAGAAAAGTGTGCAGCAGTTTGAATAAACATGTTTCATCTTAGATCAAACAAACTAAAGTAGGATCCTGCTTTTAGTTGACTTTTGTCTTCGTCAGTGTTTCTGTCTGTTATCAAAACATGTCATTTTAACAAAACTGTCAGAAAATAATCATTAAATGTGCGTCTACAGCTAATTAACTTTTAGAGTCGACCCAGTTCAGGAAGGTGACTGTCCGCCAACCAACCCTGACCTGAAACGGAGCAGTAGTAGCTCATTCATTCCCAACACATATTCTGAGAGCTAACAGATTATTTTAGGTCATTTCTGTCTGATTGTTTGCAAAAATCCTACAAACCATCAGATTTTTATGAAATGTTCAGGACAACTAGCTAACATTTGAAGCCAATTCCAGATGGACACCAAAGCTAAYTTACCTTCAAAAACACAAACATGGTTCTAATAGTATAGTTAACTCTACAGAATAAATCTGGTTTATCTGTGGAGTCWTTCACAACATATAGTCTAAGCCAGTGGTTCCCAAACTTTTTATCTTCTGACCCACAAAATATTCATGGCAAAAACTTGTGACCCCAAATATTACTGGTCTGAGTACACAAACTTCATTAATAA